AAATATAAAAACTTGGATAAAATAAAATACCTCAAAAATCCATTGAGGTTCGTGGTTGTAACTTAAAAATATGTGAAAAAGTTCAATGTGTTCCAAGTATTTGAAAAGAAGTTTCCCTTATTTGACAAGTGCATTTATGGAGATATCCTTCCATACAAAAGATCGTTTCTTTCACCTTTGTTAAATAAGATTATGTAATGCAAATGTTGGGAAGCAAAAGTCCTTTGCTCCTGCACTAAAAGCACAGCAATTTCAAGAAACAAAGTCTATTTTTACATTATTTTGCAGACTTAAAGCATCATATCCGTGCTTCTTGATGATCTAATTATTTCAAACACAGTTTGCATGTAACTGTGTCCTAAAGCTGCAACAGTGGGTGCCTGTTGTTTCTAAGAAAATGCTACATGAGTCAGTGTCGCTCATATTTTCCGAGCCAAATACACATAGTTGATAGAGAGGCGGTCACAGAAAATGTTCTTAGATGAGCTGTTCATAGGTGACATATCTGTGCAAAAAGAACCGTTTCAAAACAACAGTTATTAACGCTGCTGTTTTGCCACAAATGCTCTGCAGAAGTGGATTATTATCTGTTTGTTGCTTGCTTGCTCCTTTTTAATGTACAAGCGAACAAACTTGTAGATGTGATCACAAATTCAGGGTAAAATTATTTTTTTTTAATGTTTGCCAGCGCGATACACAACTTTACCACCAGGTGGCATAAAATCCATTCTTGCCATTTGGCAAGAATGGATTTTAACTTAATTATTTCCTCTCACTGTCATTTCGAGTATATTCTGACAAATAACACATATTCATATTGAGTTTTTATTTCTTATTTGATCTGCTGCTTTAATCAAATTTTAGCTAGGGTGAAATCAAAGAAATTCATTTCTCACTTATATATTTAACTAACTGACTTAAACCTTGTACCAAATGATTTTTTTTATTTAACTTGGTGTGTCAAAGATAAATATTATGTTTTTTATTTATTTATTTATGTTTTATGTTTATCAGCTCTATTAATTTAAAAAATGATATCAGGTTATAATCAGTCTGATGTTGGTTAAATAAATGGTGTTGTAGTTAAAGCTGGATCTCAATGTTGGCGTCTCTCTGTTTCTTTTTGTTTGGCTAGACGAAGAGTGTGTGGAAATGTTTGCGTAGCGATCACAACAGATCACTTGTTTTCTGTTTTTAGTCCAATGTTAATGACTCACCCGTTCAGCTTGTGGTTGTTTGTGACAACATTGAGCTCCACTTCATGTTTGCTTCAGCGGAGATGAGGTCAAGATGTGTTTAGGAATTAAGATCCATGTGACTTTCACCACAATTCAGTGACATTTTTGAGAAGTTTTGCTCATGTTTTTTACATAAATATAGCTTTTTTTTTCTAGCACGTTCTGAGTCTGTTTGCGCGAAATGTTTGCACATTTGTTTTCAATGTTGAGAAACTCAATTTAGTTGTAAAATAATGAAATGTTTTCTGCAGAATGCAGGTTCTACTTCTCTCTTCTTGCACCTCCTGCAGGCTAATTCTATTTCAGTCTTTCTCTGTCCAAAAATCCAAGATTCTTTTGGGCTTTATTACACTTTCCTCCAGTTTATGGTGTGGTAAAGGCTGTTTATAAACACAGAAAACAAAGCATCCTTGAATTAAAAACAAACAAATGAAATCTCAATGACAGTGGTTTCAATATTTGTTCAGTTTTATGCCTTAAAGGACAAATTGTGCTTATTTATTTTTTAGAAAATGACTGAATTTAAATGACTGAATTATTTTTTAGAATAAAACACACTGCAAAAACACAAAATCTTACCAAGTGTTTTTGGTTTAGTTCCTAATGCAAATACCTTAGTATGGTTTAAATAAGATAAAACATACTTCTAAACAAGAAACAAAGGATTATAATATTAATATTGATAAAAACAAAATACTAGTTATTACAGTCTGCCAGTTGAACATCTTTATTAAGGAGTTATTTTCTTAAAATGAGCTTGCTGAGCTTGTAAACATGTTTTATCAGTTAGCAGCAGTTAACGTGTAAAATTAAACATCGCTATTATTATTATTAATATTAATAATAACAGTTAAAAACATATACATATCATACTTACTCATGAAATGCTTTTAGTCATTAAATTTACAGAAATTTGCAGGAAAAGGGGGCAATAAACGTCTGACTGGAGACAAAAGAAATTTAAAGAATAAATAAACAAATTTGGACAAACTTCAGATTAATAATATTGTTTAAGTAAAACTCTGTGGTACGTATCCAGATTTTTACTGGGAGGTTTCAATGTAGCTATACGATATGATTTGTTTTATTCTGTTTGGTGGTTTTTGTTTTTTATTCTGATTTGCAGAATCTTTATCTATGTTTTTGTAATTTTCTTTTCTTACCTGAGCACACTCAATTACATCCAAATCACACCAGAAGGACTTGTGCAGTTTATTTTTTCTAATCTCAAGAAAAATGTATGTTCAGAAGTCTAATATATAAATATATGGATGTTCATATTAGTTGTTGTATGTTGAGGCTACGTCATAATCTTTGCCAACTCCAATAGATATGTAAATAAATGTAAAAATATTTGTTGTGCAGCAACAGCTAATTGCAGCAAAGCTAATTATCTATTCAGTGAGTGAGATATTGTGTTGTTTCACCTAAAAATGTTGGCGTTATCGCTATTAGACATGAAAAAACTTGGTTTGTTTGCATGTAAAACGAAATAGCATCAAAGCTTTCCAGTCCAGGCACAACTGAGGCTCACAGATTCAGACATTTAAAAGGGATTCTGGGATCAATTTGAATGAAATCTGTGTCACTTGGGGAATGCAGATCTATTAGTCTGCTGGAATGTGTGCAAACAAAGCAGCTCCAGCAACTTCGAGTTGTAATCAAAAGCTGGAGGCTTTATAATTAAAGCCAGGCAGAGAAATGTTGGTCATTAAATTCCCTCTTGGATTCTCAGTTTTTAGAAACTCAACTCAAAACGGTTGTACTTATTTAACAAAGCAAAAGAGGTCAGAGAGTTTAATTACTCTGGTTACACAAAATCCTTACATTACTGAATTTTTCTGAGGACCCTGGTGAATTATGTGCAGCACATTTCTGCTGCAGTAAAAAGTTTGAAAAAGGGGATTTTTTTGGTCTTTCAGGATGTTTAAGTTCTAGTTTATAAAGAAACTAATAAATTGGATGTTAATTATTAGAGCATAAACAATGCAACTCCACATTTTATTAATCAAAATATGCTAAAAACTTTCACAATTGTATTTTAGTGATGTTTGATCACAATTCAAATGTTGTTCCTCGAGAAATACTCCAATTTAATTTCATTTTTTGTGTCCATTCAATGAATAAAAACTTTAGAAATGGAAAACTAAGGCAACAATGTAAGAAAAGATCCTTATCAGATTTTAAGTTGTGCTGGAGAAAAGTGGGATTTCTTTATTTTGCTTTTAACAAACTTGAAGCAAACATTTCCAAAACATTTCATTGACTTAAAGTCGCCGGACGACCAGTGAAGCTGCTTCATCAGCTGTTCGGCCGGGTAGTCGGATAGGAAGTAGCTACATTTACTTGAGTAACTTTAAAAAAAAACAAACAAAAAAACTTTTTTTTTCTACACCTACAAGTAGAAAAAAACACTTAATGCAGTTTTTTGTTAAAGTTTCATATGTTTTTTTATTGGAAGAAAATGACTTTGAAAAATGTTCTCGTCTGGTTTTATTTTTTGTTACTGATATGAATTATTGTCCTTTTGGTCTTTAAAATACCAAAGCATAGCAATTTGTATGCTCACCATTGTGGTCATATTTTTTTTATATTTCCCATTAACATTTGAATTTTTCACAGTTTTTAAGCATTTTAAACCAGTTTTTTCCACATAATGTAAACATTTTAATGGTTTTATGTCACACCATATGTCATCCAATTCAAGAAACATTTGAAGTTATATAGCAGAAATCTTCATAAAATAAAGACATTTATGGACAACCCTGAGAATCTTTACATATATTATTGACATTTTGGTCCTAAAAATACAAAAATTACCACTTGCTTTTATAATTTGGTGAGTTTGATGACGTAATTTTGAAATATTAAAGGAGTAGTGTTCCTCTTTAATGGGTTCTCCACCCACCTCTGATTTTGTGTTCAACAAACTGGAAGAAAACATTTCCTGCTTCACTGACGTATTGCAGCCAAAGGGAGAGTAAGAAAGAAATGAGTGGAAGTGAGAATCGGCCAGGCGGCTGGTGAAGCTGCTTCGTCAGCCGCCTGGCCAGATGTGAGCCTACGTCGGCGCGGGAATAACACCTGCTGCTATTCCAACGCGCCGAGAGCGGAGGCAACCTGAGAAGAGTGGTACCATGCAGGGATAATCGCTTAGACATGTGTCACCGAGTGTGTGTGTGTGTTCACAGAAACCCTTTTTTTCCATCAGAGAGGCCAAGGCCGCTGGTTTTCAAGGTGCTCACCCTGCAACATTTGTTAGCAATTAGCCTCGGCCACAAACCTGACTTTCAACAAAACACATGGACCCTCCCTGTTTTCCTCCCACTCCCATTCTTTCACCCTATCCCCTTTCTGCTACCTCCCTTCTTCTCTACTTCCTTTCTTCCCCTCCCACATTTCTCTCTCTCTCTGCTCACTCCTTGTCTCTATTAAACTTTTTTTCTTTCTAATTCCCTCCTCTTCAGCAGTTGCTCAGGGGTTTTGTGTTTTCAGACTCTGAACACACATGTTCAGAAGTTAATGCAGCCTTTATCCGTTTCCTTTGAAAAATGAAAACCATTTCATTTATATGCATTAATATTTTTTAATTAAGTATACTTTTATCCAGTTTGGATGCAGATGAACGTCTCTTTTTATGTTTTTTGCACGAATGCATTTTGGGATGTTTGATTTGCATGTTTAGAAAAACAAATGAGCACAAATTTGTTTGATAAAAGGTAAAAAGGACGGCATTATCATCATCCTCATCCTTGTCCTCAGGCAAACTGGAAGGGCATCACCTGGCAGACATCCAAGGACAGAAACCATGAAAGGTAAAGCTGCTCTTTTTCATTTAATTTATTTTTTTTTGTCAAACTTTGGTGGGGTTTCTTTGTTAATCTTGTAAAGAAAAGCCATGTTTGTCACTGTGGGATGCAGGTCGGCACCTGCACCGGGCACCAGCCAACATATGCTTCTCATCAGCACTGAAACTTGGCAGCTCGTATCCTGAGAAAGTGCGCAGTTGTTGTAGTTGGACATGACTCTTATATCTGTCAGCTTTAAAACTGTGTATGAGTGCAAAACACAGCAATTTCTGGAGAGCACAAAGTCTGCTTTTCCTCTGCCAGATTCCCACAAACTCCCAAAACGTGGGCGAGTGAATTTAGGTGTGTTTTATCACAACAAGGCATGAAAGAAGAGCCGGCAGTGGCTTTGAAATGTGCTGACGGTCTCACAGTACATGAAGAAAACGCTAAATAAGGCGAGAAATTGGTCTTTTATCTTTAATTTTTTTTTACTTGTTTAAGCCATGATCAAATGATTAGTACGTCGTATTGTGAAAAATGTATATTTTGCACATTTGTACTTCTATTTGGGTGTCAACCACTTCTAGAAACAACCGAAGTGATTTTTAAAAAACACAAAAATCTTTTAGCAATAGGCTAATGTTTCTTGGTGTCTGGAAACCGAGCCTTTTCGAGAAAACAAATCCAAATGTAACATCACATATCAGCAGGGACTACCACTCACCTATCAACCCGAGCAAAGTCTAGCTCGTTACCTGGCAATCGCAGTGGAGTTCCGCCATTACCTATCTGTACAACGGCTGCTGGAAAAGACAAGTTATTTTGTTCTTGACCTAATAAACATAAAAACCTTCGAAAATGCATCAAATCCATCTCCTAGCTCATTTTGAATGATAAATGATGACGATTAAGTACATCCTTGCAGGAGCTTTGGCAGTTTGCTGGTTAGGTTGCAAATTAACACCTTACAAAGCTAAAAACACATCAACAGTGACACCAAAGCAGCAATTATTTCTACCTGTCAATCTGGAAGGAGTTATAAGAACATTTTCAAACAATTTGATGTCTCATCAAAAGGTCATTAACCAGTGGAAGACACCAGCAGGAGGTGGGATCCTCCTGGAAAGCTACATTTCGTAACCTGTAGCATGTTCATGGCAGGGCAGTCAAAAAAAGACTGAATATGTAAGTCACATTTGGAAAAGTTGCCAAGAAAAAATCTGAATCAACCTCAAAAACAAAATACTTGGACAAATGAGACTTGAACTATCTGGACTTGACTATGCAGATAGTTTGACTTCTATCCACAGTGTTTAGCTGGAAAAAATGATAGCATGTGGAGAATGATTCACAACAACTTTATTTGAGAAAGCATTTAATCAACCTGCATAAAATCTAACACTGAGACCAAAATGCCTGGCAACTGTTTCCTGCACATTGTTCTGGTAAATGTTGTCTAGTTTTTCCCATTTGGTTTGCATTCTCTGAAATCACAAACAAAGTGGTTGTTATTGTGATGTCTGTGGCTGCATATTTATTGCAGAACAATGATTTCAAACGGGGTACTGAGTTGATTACTGCATATGAAAGTGTCAACAAGAAACTAATTCAAAGTAAAAAGGCAAAAATTGAAGTCTTAAAATTACCCATTCGAAGTGCAGACTTCAACTTGTTTGAAGTGCTATGGAAGGAGCTTAAAAGAGAAGTTCAAAACTCAATGAGCAGGGTTAGTGTCGATGAGTGGGTTAAATATGAGCATAATAAAGTCGTACTAACAACTGCTTTTCCAAAATCTTAATGCTAATGGTGACTCTTAAAGGGGACGTATTATGCAAATTTTATATTTTGAAAATTTTTGTGCTCCCATCCATTTGGGTTTCTACTGCTTCTAAAAACAAACCAAGCACTTAAAAAAAAACATTTAGCCATTTTTTGGCAATAACTTAATGTTCTATGGTGTCTGGAAAACGAGTCGTTTCAAAAACCTTCCAAATGTAACGCCACAAATCAGCATGAACTGCTACTCACCTAGCAACGCCAGTGAAGTCTAGCCAGTCACCTAGCAACCCAATTGGAGCTGTACAATAGCTGCTGGAAAAGACAAGTGCTTTGTTGTTGGTTTACCATCCAGAAACCACTTGCTGCATTCTTGTTCATTGTGCAGAAGGCTCCACTTCTGTTTTTCAGGTGTGAGTGTAAGAATAATTTTGTGCATAAAATGTAATAAACATGTTCTGTTTTGCTTCTTAGACATATACTAACCTGTTCAAGGAAGTGTAATAAATCACCTTTAAAGCATTTCACTCATGCAGTTCTTAGTTTTTCTTGTGACTGTCTTAGAAAAAGCCACAAATAAAAATAAAAAGAACTTATTGTACAGTAATCTAGGCCTTGGTGAGAGTCAAACTGAAACCAAAAGAATGTCATAAATGAACTCCATTAAAGCACATCTAAGGCGCACTTCCCAGCCAAACTGAGTAGGAGGTCTCATAATGTGGTTTCCAGCCTCTTCCAAGCAGAATAAAACTTGCTGCTTCACAGATTCCTCTCTGGGTTGTTGAAGACAGGAAGAGATGGGAGGTGGAGGCAGAGGCAGGTGGCTATGAAGGAAAGACTCGCAGAAAGGAGATTTGATAAACTCGTGGTAATTTTTGTTCTTTGAGACGTTTTCTGTCAGCCAATCAGTTTAGGAGTTTTTCATTTGCGATATCAGAGGTTTGTGGCCTCAAAAAGCAATCATCTGACATTATTCAGTTATTGCCAAAAACTTGACCTCTAATTTAATTGCTAGGACAAACCTCAAATTTTCTCCTTGATGGAGTTGGAGACCAAAAATCTTGGTTTCTTAATTACAGTTCTTCCATTCCACAGCTCTTAATGATCATTGCGTAAAAATAAAGGCCAGTAATAGTGTTGTACACACCCTTAAGCCTTGTAAAATCTAACCAAGGTTGTCTTTCTGTCTCCTTCTGGCGGTCCAGACCAGTTAAGTCCTGAGAAAGCATGCACAGGATGGAAACCGTCCTGATTCACTGTGGAGGAACCGCAGTAAAAGACGAGAAGTCTCTTTCTTTTCTATAGTTTTGCAGACTGCAGCAGTGCATACCAGAGAGCTCTGTGAAGAGACCACACATTCCAGTCAGAGGGCACACAAACGGCTGAAATGTCAGAAAATGTTTGAAGAGGGAGAATTGTAATTTTTATGAGCTGTGGTTCAGACCTCCAGTCCGATCTGGAGAGGGTCCCATCTTCTGACTTTGTGAACGTCCTTTGCAGGGAGAATTGTTTTGCCAGAACATAGTGCCTTGCAAAGACTTTTATACATCTTGACATGCTATGAAAACAAACGTCAATATTCTTTAATGGCATTTTGCTGGTAGATCAACACCTTCATTTTGAAGGAAAGGGAAAGGAATGCATAGACTGCGAAACAAACACTGTCACCAAGTATTTCTGTGCAGATATCTTGGTGCGCTTAAAATAAAACAACTAACTTGAACATAACTTTTCAACAGAAAATAGGAGCTTGTTTTAAGTCAATAATTCATGAAGAAGTACTGGTTGCATTGGCATATTATTTCACTTATAATCAGACATTCACAAATTATATTGTGTTAGATGCGCTTTAATTACAGATCTGCGCAAATCTTTGTCAGTATTCTCCCAATGTCAAAAAAAAACCCAACACATTTTCACAATTGCAGTGTTTCCATTAAATAAGAAATTGAATAAAAATGACTCGTGAATCAGCTTGTTTACGCAGTAAATCATTACAAATCATGATAATGGCGGATGTAAACATTTACATGAGATGATGTCAAGTTGGCGTCTTATTCAGGCGTTGAAACCAACAAGATGTACAGAGCTACTTTACGTACGCAGAGTTTTGGGGGAAATTGCAATCAGCAATTCTATTGAAGAGTTATGAATGACACACATTGTCCAAAAACAACAACAAAACACAAAGGGATTCTCCTACCACTTCCTGCCGTCTTCTTCGTGGGTTTTCGTCCGTATTAACGTATGGCAGTTTATCACGTGACTCGTGTGAGTTGAAAAAGTATCTCCACTGCAGTTTTGTGAAATATGTCCATTTAGATACAGCCGAAAAATCATCTCATCCTATCAAAAAACATAAGTTTTTCCAAAATTCACGTTTTCATTGAGCAAATTTATTTTTGTAATTTCAATTTGAGCAGTTTTGTGGTTAATGGAAACAGAGTGGGTGATAAAGTCATACATTTCTCTTTCTTTTATTCTATTTCGTCTCTCTGCCCTTGAAGGATAAGTTCGTTTTTGTGACATTGTTTTGCTAACTTATCTTCCACTGGACCTTTGGTTTCCACTGGAGGTTTGGATGCGCGCAGCTCGTATTAGCGGTAAAGCATGACCAACCTCGGCCACAAGGGGGCCCACAAGAGCAATTTATTTTTTCTTTTTAACTGTATAAGCAATGATTTCTACATAATCAAATATATACTGTTCTAAAAAAATCACAGCTTTATTATGAGACTGATTTGAAAAAAATATATAATCACATAGAATGGAAAATCAGCCGCTTTTACAGATTTTCTCGAATCTTTTTGTGACTGGCATGGTGAGTTCAGACATGTTTCTTACATGCAAGCTTAAAGCAACACCCTTAGTTAAAAACTATAATGTTGAGCATTTTCTTTTTTCAGAACCATCTGTTCACCTGCAAATATCTCTCAGGCATGAAGGACAGAAACAGGAGATGTTTGTAGAGGCACGCTTTCACAGTCTGTTACACGTCGGCCTTTTTGTGCTCTTGTAACCTGCTGCTTGGCTCAATATTTTCATAGCTGCTGGAACTGCTTGATCTACAACATCTGGGCCTGAGGCCACAGGCAGGAACATGAACAGTTACATATTCATATTTTATTGCTATAAAATATCGCCTTGTTCTCCATAGACTCTCGTCTTGTACTTTAAATCCAAGCCTGGGGATAAAAACAACTGTACAAAACTCTTGAGTCTTCCCTTACCTCAGGGGCGTCCAAAGTTTTTTGTCAAGGAGAAGTTTTACCCACTCAGCAATAAACTAAACATGTAATACTTAAAATAAGGAATCAGATTTGTTGCTGGAAAAGAATGTGGGAATTATTCCAGATTCAAAACTTGCTAATTTTCTAGGTACCAATTGGAAAACAACAGGTCACAATTTGATCAAAATCTGGATATATTTCAGTCTTTCTTTGAAAATCCTTGCTATATTTATCCAGGTTTATTAAATCAATGAAAAGCAGATTTGGAAACAGCAAAGCTTTTGAGTAAAAGTCAAATAGAGCAAACGTTCACATGTCTGGAACATACAGGCAGAAAATAAATTTAAAAAAGGGCCTTAGATTGACCTGTCTTAATTTAATTCATAGGAAAAACTCCCAATAATTTCCAACAAATGTAGATACTTTTGATTTTTACAAGCTTTGAGATTGTAGAATAAATTTTAAGAAAATAAAATGTTGTTTTTGGTCAGAAATCTTTCCACGTACCTAACGTCTTCCCTTTTATTTTGTCAGCTAATGAAGCCAAGCAAAGTTTAAACAACTTTTCCACTGGACCAAATATATTCCTAAGTATTTCACAGCCTTTATTTTCCTGACTGGGATTGTGTGACCTGGTCAAGCTGTGCTGCAGTCAGATTAGCTTAGTTCTGCTCTGTGTGCTTTGGACCGGTCCACTTCCTCACTAACGAGACGAACATTAGTTTTTTTCCAACATGGCGCAGTCCAAACCCACAAGGTGAAAAGTTTGGCTGTAAACATGAAACTAGTGGAAGGATAAGCCTGAATAATTTAAATTCATTTTCAAATAGAAAAATGAACCAAAAAAAAAAAACAAATTTAACCCCCCAAAAAGTCAATATCTTAACAAAAACATGTTATATGCTTAATTACTGTATATTTATGAATAAATATGTTTTTTCTCTTGTTTTCTGTGTTTTTCTCCTTCATCCCTGTTTTGTTATCTAAGCTGTTTTACTTTGTGACCTCAGATGTTCCACCACTGTCTTATGTAAACTTGGCCTTTTATGCAACGTTTCCAGAACAATAACAATTTATACGTATTTTTAGATTTATCTTGTGATGTCACGTTGTATTTGTTTGGTTCTGTTCTCTAATTTCCCTCCAGCTGAGACCGTTTTGTTTAACCACCTGTCAAATTATGTCGTTTGAACTCGTTTACTTGAGATAAAACAATTTGGAGTAGTTTAAGAATTTGGTGAAAATGTTTGTTTTAAAGCGAAATACTCAGTTATGATATGAACCTTAAGACCTCTGCTGGTTTTCTCATTCCACCCATTTTTATTTTGTTTCTCTATTACAAAATTTAGACCTCCACTCATAGACTAGAGTAGAATACAATATTTGTAGCAAAACTGAACCAAACAAATACAAAAAATTATTTCTTGTTTATTGTTTTTCTCCAATTTCCATTCAAGTTTGCAAATATAAACAAGGATAAAAAGCTCTTTGAGTTCCCATTATCTTGCTTTTGGAGACTTTTCTTCCAAATATTTCAAATTTGGGAGAAAAGTCCCAGCAAACCCCATTATAATTACTATAAATTATGCAGTAATTAACACATATGTAGGTGTGCATTTCCAACATTATTTATATCCCTGGTAGATTTTGTTTTATGCGTCTTTCAAATTTACTAACATAAGACTGGAATTAAAAATCTAGTTAGGCCCCGATAGAGTCACAACTTTAATCTGAGTTAACAATTAGGGTGATAAAGACATTATTACCAAAGATGAATAATCAAAATAGCAACAATTTGCTAGATTTGTTTGTGGAAATGAAAGTAAAGATTTTTCAATAGGATATTAATAATTTTTGGCATTTTATTAAAATTTCTCTATAAAAAAGTATTCTGACTACATGTCTAACACATTCCCAGCAGTCTGTTAGCCCATTGTTTGCATAAAGATCAGCTCAAACCAGTTTATAATATCCAAATATCTCATCCGGTGCTTGTCAAGCTGAATATTTGTGAGTTTTGCTGTTCTTTTCCTTCACACACTCCCCTGTGGTTTAATGGTGTGTTTCCAAACCACCGTTACAGCCTCAGGTGTGGCGTTGGAAAGCGTCAAGCTGATGACATGTTTTATAAAGTCTGCAGCTATAAAACCATGAAGTCAAATCTTTTGTGGGACCCCTAATAAAAACTGACTTTTCACAGTTTATTAGCGCTATTGGTTTTTACAGCGGCTGTGATGACAGCCTCCTCAGACTCTCGACACACACAAAAATCCCCCAAGCATCAGCACTCACAACCAACAGCTGCTTTCCTGATTTCTGCTCACAGAAAGCATTTAACAACCAGGCGGGACCACATGCTGAGAGCGATAGGGAGGCAGATGCTTACAGTCAAACTAATTAAACTTGTTAGCGGTAGAAAAAACTTTAGACTTTAACTTTGCTGTGTCTCTTTGTCTCTATTCTGCAGACAACAACGGTGGATACGAGAACCAGCTATTCAAAGGTAACGGTAAAAAAATTAAGTTGGTTTTCTCATCGAGGCTATGAATTTAAATTACTATCCTTCTGCAGAAAATATGAAACTTAATTGATGTCTTTTTTTTTAAAGACAGTTGGTGCCATAAGGCCCATGTGTCGAACTAAATTGTAGTGTCCCCAGAAAGTATCGACACCCATTCACTTTTTCAGTTTTACTTTTTTTTAAAGATGGGGAAAAAGCCAACACTGTAAAATCTCTTATCGACTGTTTTGGTCTAGTTTCTAGTTCAAATATCTTAGTACACTAGAAATAAGACAAAACTTATTTTAGAAGTGACATTTTAGCAAGATAAAGGAGCTTATTTTAAGCTAATAAATTCTTAATATTGGTTAAAATAAAAAAGTTCTAGTTCCATTTGGTGACAATAGTTTCTCGTAGATTTAAGTTTTTAAGAGGACGATGCTTTGTTGCTGTGTCTCAACCAAAGTTGTTCTTTGTATTATTAATATCAAAATATTAAAACCTAAACTTGTGCTATTCATATTTTATTCTCTCTTCAGATGAGGACTTCATGGGAGAGGAGGAAGAAATGCCTTCATTTAGAGGTAAGCTTCATAGCTACTATAACTCCTTCTTTTTGCAGTGTGTGATTTAAAAGTAGATTATATAGCAACCGCTTTACTATTGCACTGCATTGTTTCAAATATCAGAAGTACTACCAAACTGCTGGCATGACATTTCCTATTGTAGCCACAGTTTTCATTTGTTGTTTATTTTTAATAGTTAGGAGGAATGGTGGCCAATCCAAACTATTTAGCCAGGGGTTGGTAGGTAACCAAAGAGTGAATGAGTTGTTTGGTAACCAGAATGAGGTTGATTGTCCAAAATAACACATATCAGACTTTTTTTTAACGCGACTCTGGATATTTGTACATGTGGCCCGAAATCAGATGCATATTCGATCTTTTCAAATGAGACGCGAGTCTGATCAGCCGGGTCGCATTCATCCCGTTGACTCTCGACAGACGTCACTATTCTGATGCGCAAGCAGTAAGAAAAACAGCAACTATGACGCTCTACAATGAGAATTAAGTTGTTAATGTACTGGTGCGGTCAGACAACAACTTCTAAATCGTAAGCTATGCTCCACCGTTAGCATCCACGTTTACTTCCGGAAACAAGAAGTTCTTCTGCCAAAACACGGCGCACGCTCTCTAAGCGTGACATTATCTACCGCGCATGCGGGACACTTTTAGGTCGTTTGCGTTTCATACGTTTCAAACTTTCACACGTTTCATATTTGTGTGAAAGACCGCACAAAAAAACAGAATTGAGCTTTAAGGCATGCAGTGTGATGCCACCAAGTTAGCTTAACTCACTGTCTGCCTACATCTCCCAGAATGCTGCACGGTTCTAAATCGAAGTTCAGTTCTAAGATCTATTTATAATGAATCCGTGTCTTTCGCAATATATATTTATTTACTGTCCAGCCTCACTTGATGCTCTTCCACTTTAGACATGCTAGATACTTTCTCATCTCCAAGAAACAAACAAAACTCCACCTCAGTTAAATCTGCTGTAACGGCAGAGGCGTGCAGCTTAGCAATGCTTTAATGGAGCATGTAGAACAGCAGCCAACGAGCCAACCACCGCTGCTTAATGTTGCAACAAATCAGAAGGTTTAAAGTCAACAAAACGTTAAACAGACCTTTCAGCCCATTTCTTTATTTCTATTCCCATTGTGTGTCTTCAGGTCGTTCAAGAGTGGGCTGCATGAGATGCCAGCAAAGCCACTCCCTCCAGCTGGCTGTCAAGGTCCTCTATGGTTTTGTTGCTTTCCTCATCATTACTGTTGTAGTTCTGGCATCACTAGGTGAGCTCTGGTTTACTTTTATTCATCCCTGATTCTCTCTTTGCAGAAATAGCAGTCGTCTGATTTAATTCAGTTGATAATTGCTGAAATAAGTATTAATGAGCAACAAGCTGCCAAACTCTTCTAGGTCTTAATGTATTGCATGCAAAAACATAAGAAAATATTTCATTTAAGGCTGACTTGGAATGTGTATCCCTAAATTATCCCAGAGCTACAGCAGTGGATTTGGGCCACTGTAGATTGGGGGGAAAAGTTGAGTAGATTTTTGCCAAAAATCTCAGAAATTTTGAGAAAAATCTCAGAAATGCATTAGAAAAACATTTTTAAGTTTCAAAGGTCAGCAATTTTCTTGAAACAACTTGGAAATATCACAATCTAAACTTTTATTGTTTTTTTATTATTTCTGAGATTAATCTCAAAATTTCTGTTTTATTTTCATCATTTTTTTTACTTTTGCAGCTCAGAAATGTTCTTGATTTTTTTTCTAGAAAATTTATGTGATAAATCTAAAGATTTCTAAGATTTATGGTGAAATTTTTCCTCTTTTTTCTGTCTACAATTGCCCTATCACAGAGATTAGGCTGTAAATAGTTATTATTTTAAATTGTCGTTTGTAAGTTAAGAGCATACACCAATTGACAAGCCACAAATATAGCTCAATATGCTATGAAGCTTATTGAACTGTGAACACATAATAGTAATCTATAAAGTCAGATACACTTGCAACAACAGCAGCTTTGGAGAGTGTTGGTAAATATATTTGCTTATATTTACTCCTGATATCACACAAATAAATAAAATGTAAATAAACTGTAGGTATTTTTGAATTAAAAAGATCAGCTGTCACATTTTGTTCGATTTACTTGATTATTTTTCAAATATGCTGGGAGTAGGAGATACGATGTTGCTTGCAAGTAAATAAAAATTTTTTTATTATAATGTCAAATGTCTCCATATTAAAGATGGAAGAGTTATTTTCATAAAACATTTTAGCACTTTAAAGTGGAAATGAACTAATAAATATTAAAAAATAAAACAAAACCTACATGTGTTATTGAATAAGTTAAAATAATATGTCATCTTGACGTCTAATACAACTGACAGTTGATAAATGACAGGAGCAGAACATGTGGAAGCATTTATCCATATTTCCTCTGGGTCAGAGCTTAACTGGGCAAAATAGCATGAAAACACACACCACACATCATTGCATTCTCCCTAATGTAAACACACACACAAAACGCTCACTAAACTGTTAGCTCTCTCTTGGGAAATATGCAAGGGGCCAAAACCTGGTCAGCTAGTAAAACAATAACTTTTCCATGTTTTGTAAGTTAATGAAAACTTAATGTGTTTTGCTGTTTCGGGTTGATTTACAACCTTCTCTGTGTTCTTTCAAATATTTCCCATTTCCTGTTTACACTGAAGGTCAGTTGGTTTTTATCGAACTCGTGTGATTCGCTCTTATAAGAATGCAAAATAAATGCGTGGATATGTATATACTTTTGTGACATTCGTTAGTTTAAAAACTATTTCTGTGTCTTTAGTGTTCAAAAAGGTGGACAATTTGTCGGAAGAGGAATCAGCTCACAACAAGAAGATTGCAAAAGTTCAAGAAGGCATAGAGGGTAAAGTGAAATATTTCGGAAATGGTCATTTGTAAACGTTCTAAAGAATAAAAAATGTTTTGTAAATACCATAAACCTACCGTAACCTGTTCAAGGAAGCATAATAGATCACTTTTAAAACTATAATGCTCTTTTTTTTACCGAGTTATTGTTTAAACATTTACCATCCAACTCACATATGGTCTTTATAAAGTCTGTAATGTTCTCTCAGCTATTTCTGTTATTAATTTTCTCTCTTGCCTCCTTTCTTATCTCAGATCTGAGGTCTGTGTCGAACAGTTCAGACTGCCTGGATGTCTCGTTTTACAGTGAAGAGATCAGCAGGCTAAAGAGAGAATTTGAAGATATTCAGAAGATGATACTGGGTCAAGAGCAGGTATGATCAATCTGAAGCTAAATCCGCAGTGAGAAAGGTTTTCCATTTTGTCTAAACCAAAAGATACAATTTGAAATATATAAAGCAAGAATGTGTTAAACTTCTGTTTATTCCTGTTTAATCTGTCTTTGATTTCTGAACCACCCAGATTCTGGATCAGGCATCCCAAACCCAAACCACCATAAAAGCAACAAGCAACCAGCTAACATGGGAAGTCCAAAACCACCTCATGTCACTCAAACTCCTCAACCAATCTCTGGAGAGATTCACCAGTCAGGTGCAGGGTTGGAAGGAGGTGATTGATGAAACAGAAGAAAAGATGAAAACTTTAACAGAGGATCAGTTCGACGTAAAAGCAACGGCGCAACAAGTCAACACAACAGTAGCACTCAGGTGACTGAACAGAAGAGATACTGCATATTAATTAACATTTATATGGAAATACATGAGTTTAAGTAACTGAAGCTACGTTCAAACCCAATCCAATTTTATGCGATCACCAGTTTGAACTGCAAAAGGCCTGAAAGTTTCTCGCAGTAGAGGGCGCTATAACGTAACGTTATAACCTGCTCAGTACTTTGTCCGTCGACATGACACATATTCATGTCTGTGGTTTTGCCGACTGCCATAAAAAAGAAGAAGAAGAAGTGCTCAGTGTTTGCGGAAGGAAAAGCGGAGGCTAATGGTGGAACTTAGCTTCCGATTTTGAAGTTGTTGTCTGACTGGAGCCAGACGATCCTCATTACAGTCCGCCATGATTGTTTTTCTGCCTGCTTGCGCATATGAGGATGGAGAATGGTGACGCTTGTCGAGTATCGATGACATTCAGGTTCTCTGAACGTGATCTGGCTGTTCAGATTCAGGTCGGATTAAGACCAAAAAATAGAATTTGGGTCACTTTGGGTTGCAGTCTGAACACAGCCTAATTTCCATTTCTAGCCCTTTTGGCACATTGACATGTATGATGTTTATTAATAATAAGAAAACGCCACTTTGGACTACTGCACACAAAACACTTCATAAAAGAGAAACGGGTCATTTGTGGTCTACAAAGACTCAATGACTTTCACTTTAAGTTGAATAGAGTTAGCATGACAGCGCTAAAAATAGAGTGGTTAAGCTGTGGTAAGCTAAAAAGGCTAATTGTGTGATTAGAAAAGCTAGCCTGTGTCCTACCCACTTTAACAAATTAATCTGCTGAGTAGTTATTGCATGGTAAACAGATATAAATATTATGTTATTCAAGTTTTGTTTATTATTGCCTAAGACTACAGTGTGTTTAAGAAGAAATTTCAGTTGTAGTGTGTCATCCTTCTATAGTTTCTACCTGTGCTTGGCCTCCCTAGGAAAAAAACTAGACTTTGAATTCTTAAAATAGTAAATCAAAGTTAAATGTCCCATGATGCTCTCTTCTCTCTGTTGCTCAGCACAATGTGGATCGATGCCCTCCAAAAAAAAGCAGATGAAGAGACCACCGTCCTCCAGACGTTGACGAATAATTTGCAGAACTACACTCGAGTTTTGAGCGCCATCAAATCCAACACCAGCAACACCTCCCAAAAAATGCGCTCCCTTCAGACCACAATCATAATAGATCAGCAGAAAATGGCAATGTTCTCAGATGTGATCCATGACCTCACACAACAGGTAAGACTAGATTCACAGTCGGATGATTCGATAAAAACATTTCTGTTTGGAAGAAAAAGTCATTTACGCAATAAATGCACATTTTCAGGGTTAAAATACTTTTAATGGAGCATTATGATGTTATTCCCTCATCAAAAATATACCTGGGGTGTTGTCTTGATTCTTTCATGCATTTTTGTGAAATTTTTTAATCTCCCACGGCGGACATTCAGCTAGGTGTTGCAATTTCCAAGCTCACAACTCCCCCACTCAACTCCTTCAGACTAGCCAGCAACAATTAGCAAACGCCTGGTGGAACTGCTCAGCCGCTGAGCTCATTATAGGAGCTACTTCTTAGTGCAACACTGGTAAAGTGTTGCACTGGTTAATTCAGGAGTCAGGCAAAGTCTCAAATGTAGCAAGAATTTTGAAAGAGTCATAGGCCCAATTAGGAAGTAAATTTGATTTTAAGACATATTTTATTTTTATAACAACTGATGTTCGCATGACTACTTGATTATGCTGGAAAACACTTAATATTTTCCTTTAGGAGTTTAATATTTTAAGAAATCTGGTGTCTGCTGCCTTAAACCAACATAAATCAGCTACACTTTTCAAATGAACTACCAGTCATTTTTAAATCGCCAATCGAGCTGCACAGATGTTTCCTTTTCTTTGTTCCATGACTCTACAAGTCAGTGTTTTATTTACATTTATCACAATTTAGGCATACCATGTTATAACACACAAATTTTTGTGTGCAGACTGTCCATCATCACCACATGTTACCACTGAACCATGAAACTGGCATACCTTTGTAAAAGTCAACCATTTCTGCTGTTCCCTGGTGGGTCAGCAGCTTCATGCTGACTTAATTTACCCTTGACGCCTTGATTGTTTTAGAAACCAAACAGAAAGATGAAGAAGTCATTTTGTAAAAGAGGCTAGTTAAAGGTATTTTTCTTAATTAATACCAGACCAGGTCGTAAACCTGTTTGACTCATTCCTGCAGGTTATGAACCTCCAGATGCAGCTCGACAATGTGACGTCGTTAATGGATGAAAATGAGGAGAACATGCATGATCTTCAGTATCACTCCAGGTGACATAAATAAACACATTTCACTCAGTGATTTCTTTTTTACCTCATCTGCATTGTCAGAATCTTGCAACCATTATCAAGTATTACTCATAGACATAAGTATCACTTTACACACGTGTCAAACAAACTCGAGACCCGTGGGCCAAATCCGGCCCGCCGTAGCTTTTTATGTGGCCGTCTAGATTCTAGATTAAACAATAAGAGTGATTAAGTATTATGTTATTAATCAAATCAATGTAATTTTTTTCTGTTTACTGCCAAATCTATCCATTCTTCAGGTTTATTGGCAATTATTGCGGAAAATCACACAAAAATCAACAAATTGAGCCAAGAACTCGGAGTTTATTACAGATTTTTTTCAAGAATTGTAAAAAAACCTTCTTACTGGTACTAAACAGCTGCCTCAGCCATAATTGATGTCAGATTATAGCCCATGATCTTTACACGAGTAGTAAAAAGCCACATTTACTGTTATAAATAAGCACAAATACTTCCAAATTACAGCCACAAACACTTTGATTTTTACTGGAAAACTCACAAAAAGAATAACAAAACCCTGGAGGGACTGGAAAGATTTTCAATAATATGTAGTTTTAAGGATTCAATGATATTTTAGCAGTTTGTGAACAGGTTTTATCAATACATTCATTCTGGCACAACCGGCCCTTTAAGATCGTTTATGATCTGGATTTGGCCCAAAACAAAAATCAGATTGACACCCCTGCTTTACAATAAGGTTAATTGCTGTTATTAATTAATCTGCAAGCACTTTACAAATCATTAATAACTTTTTGTTTTGCATTAATTAAGGGTGTGAAATATATGGTTGCTCAACTCTAGATAAATTTTATCTAGAGTTGTTATATTAAACATTTCAGACTAATTTGTGGGCAAAATAAGTGTTTTGTCTCCTAAGTTAATATTTTCTAATCATATATGTTCACAGATTGGTGAGAAATACTTTGATCAACTCAGACTAAATGTAAACCGTTTATTTTAGGTACTACGAGAACCGGACTGGTGAGCGTTTCTCAGCTTTAGATGGCCGTCTGAACTCCATCGAGATGGAGATCGAAACCATCGCCTCAAGCATCAACGCCACGGTCAGCCACGTCCAGAGCATGTACAAGTACATCAACGTGGAGAGCTCCTCCTGCAAGAGTCGGCTGGGCAGACACACCGAAGACCTACAGGTGCTAAAAATGGCAAAAATATATCAGGAGTTTTACAAACACATAAGATCTTTGATTTCATCATCATAATTATCAAAAGCATCGGAAATATTGCACCTTTTCTTGAACTCTAAGTCGTTTCTGACTTATTTTAATTTGCTTGCTTATAAAATTAATGGCAGCAATGTCCATCCATAAAACCTGGAGTGTCAAAAAATAGCTGGAAATAATGCAAAGACAAATATTTTTCTTCTGAAGGAAAGAAATACACAAATTATCTGCAAAAAAAATAATAATGAAGAAACTGCTTTCTACAAGGATGGAAAACATTGATTATTTAACTGGATTTATTCCACTGTCAGTAACTAAATGCAAGAAAGACACAAAGCGAAACATAGAAGCCGTGGAAAAGATACTATGAATTAAAAACCCCTGAAAAATGAAAGAGAACACAAAATTTGTGCTTAAATACAGAGTCACTGAGCCAGGAATATTTACTATGCAAAAAAAAAGCTAAGTTAATTGCAGGAATTAACTTGTTGACTCATGGAGCAGAAAGTTTAAATGACTCATGCTGGTAAGGATATGTATTCAGTTTGTATCTTTTTCCAGTTACCCTGTATTATAGTGTTGCTTTATGTCATCTAGTTTACCTGTTTTCCTCTTTATGCAGAACATGAACACCACCGTTTTCTTGCTTCTCAACCTGGCCAGCACTCTGAAGCAGCAGAACATGCTGCTGAACGTTCGGCTAGACATGGATGTGAGGAATCTGTCGATGGTGATGGAGGAGATGAAGCTGGTTGATGTTTTTCACTCCCACCTTATTAATAATTTCACTATTATTAAAGGTACAACTGATTTTGAAATATGTTAGGAAAACCAGAACTACGGAACAAGATTAGGGCCACTTAAAAAACACCCAAAAACAAACGAGTTCAGATTTTTGATCTCAGAAGATTAAAGTCAGAAAAATGTCTGGGAATAAAAGTCATAATTCTGAGATGAAAGCCTGAGCGGTTCTGACTTTCTCAGCATTTGCGCTTTCTTTTTTGGAATTCTGACTTTTGATGTGAGACGATTTAAGTCAGAATTTTTAGGTTAAAAACAAAATTCTGAGAAAAAAAAGCCAGAATTCTGACATTAAAGTAAGAATATTTTAAAGTCATAAGTTTAAGATTAAAGTCAACATTTTTAGAAAAATGTCAAAATTCTGATAAAAATGACAGAATCTTGAGATTAAAGTCAAATTGCCAAGAAAAAGACAGAATTTGGGGATTAAAATCGAAATTTTAAAAAAAATGTCAACATTTTGAGAAAAAAGCCTGAATTCTGAAATTAAAGTCAGAATTCTGCGAAAAATGAAATTTCTGGAAAAAAAAAAGTCATAAAAATTTTGAATTTTCTTTATTTTCCAGTGTGCCTAATCCTTTTCCGTAGCAGAACATTGTGGCTCCACTTTAATTCTCAAATTAGCATCTTGATGTTTTCTTTTCAGGCGCTCCTGGGCCACCTGGGCCCAAAGGAGACCGTGGTGAGACTGGCCCAAAAGGACCCATGGGCCTTACTGGTAGTAAAGGTAACAGAGGCCCTACAGGAGGCCGTGGAAACCTTGGCATGAAGGGTGCGCTTGGTGTTAGAGGATCACCAGGAGAACCGGGCCCTATCGGCAGCAGAGGGCCCCCAGGTCTGAAAGGAGCCAAAGGGTCAATCGGTCTTCCAGGCCCCAAAGGGGAAAGGGGCCAAAAAGGGGATTTGGGGGCCTCTGGTTCTGATGGCATCCCTGGAGTTGAAGGACCTCCAGGAATCCAGGGCCACGTAGGACTACCAGGTACCACCGGACCTCCAGGACCCAGAGGAAAACCTGGGCCAACAGGGCCACCTGGACCACCAGGTACACCTGGACCTCCTGGCTTACCGTACAGGCATGAGCCTCAGCAACAAACCGTGAGGCCTGCTGCTGGCGCCAAGAGACGGTAACTCTGAATGAAGAGTCTGAGTGCGAAGTTTTCACACGCAGAAGCTGAGGAATGACCATTCTGGAACTAAATTACTGATTTTAATTGAAGACACACAGGAATTTATTCATTGGATTGTGAAAAGCCATGAAGACTAAATCAGAAAAACAGCACACCGGCTTCGCAGTGGAATTTGACAAAACGTGGTGATGATTTATGGAATAAGAAAACCCAAAGCAGCCTTCTGTGGACTCAACTATTGAGTGAAATCTTATCTTTTTTGATTTGTATGCTTGAGTTTTTCATATGGCACATGTGTATCAACCAGATTAACTAAAAATGATAATCTTTTTATTTCAGAATGTACCAGAATAAGAGAATGCGACATAGAGGTTTGTTAAGCAAAAAAAAAAAAAAAAAAAAATTAAAAGTAGGATGGTAACTATGAATTCGGACAGAATCAAATTATTTACTACAAACAGAAAGATGTTTAATTTGAAGCACTTTATTATCTCTAAAACGTGAAACCTAAAGAGATTTCAGAGCGGGAACTCTGAAAACATTTTTGTTATCTTGCTGGTTTGTAAAGAAAATGAAGAAATGACATTCAGTTTGTTTTCTTTTTTTTAAGAAATATTTTTCAGATGTTTCAGCTTGTGAGGCGACACTGACTAACAATAAATAAACAATTGGGTTTCACATGGAAACATGTTACCTGATGCATTTAGAGCCATTTCATGTACCATGTTATGATCAGACATCTCGCTGTGAATTGGTTTAATGGCTGCACAATGACGTCAGACTCCCAGAAAGCATTGACCATAATTGATAATGTGATCTAAAATGTCAAACATAACAAGGTAAAGTTGGAATGATGTGTTTTTTTTCTGTGTAAACTGTGAACAAAGAAATGTCAGTGAGGAGTCGAGGTACATAGAGGAAGCAGCTGATTTCATTTTAGGCTGATTGGAGAGCTGGGAAGCAGGAGACGGTCATCTTCACTATCGCCTGGTAAGCTCCCCCACACAAACTTATCAACTTTTATGATGTTTTGTGACATTAGTTCCTCTGTTGGTGATCAATTGAAAGGTCTGTGGATTGCTAAATTATAGGAAAATACGTAAATAAGGTCGTAACTAACACAGCTTAGCTAGCTCTGCCATCTTGCGTGATGACGAATGCTTGGTGGAAACGGGCGTCAGCTCCAGAGACGTGTGGCTTAATACGTAAAAATAAGAAAATTTATTTGTCCACTTGAATTTTCCATGAAATGCTTTTCTTATTGTTTTTTTATTATTACTTTGCGGGTCAAAATCGCTGAATTTACGCATTTTCTGTTGAAATACATAAAAAAAAGACCCGGATGAGGCAGTGCTGTGCCTCACCTCACCTCTGGGGGCAGTGCTGAGTTCCATAGACGCAACGAGCTCTTTTTCTACGCATAGAAAAGACTGAAAACAGTCGGAGAAATAACATTCAGACTCTTTATGGCTGGAGCAAGAACGTTTTTTCTTCTATAAATGTCTGTGCAGAAGGATCGAGGCTTGGACGTCATGTAAAATAAATATAATATCGTACATGATTTTCAATTTAAATCAGAAACAAGACGTCAGCCAAACAAAACATTAAAACAACTAAATATTTTACTTGCTATTATACTGTTGGAAGCTTTAATTAGTTACAATATAGCTTCTATAATGGATTTTGTATGTCTCAAAATGTTGTCATTTTTCTCAAAATCTTTACTTTGATATCAGAATGCTGACTTTAAAAAAAAATGGCTTTAATCTTAAAATTCTGACTTTTCCTCTAAATTTTCATTTCAATCCCCAAATTCTGTCTTTTTCTTGGAAATTTGACTTTAATCTCAAGATTCTGACTTTTTTTTTTCCAGAATTTTGACATTTTTTCCAAAAATGTTGACTTTAATCTCAAACTTATGACTTTAAAATGTTATTACTTTGATGTCAGAATACTGGCTTTTTTTTCTCCGAATTTGGTTTTTAATCTCAAAATTATGACTTAAAAGAACCTGACTTTGATCTAACAATTCGGACTACTGGTGAGGTTCTGTATTGGACTTTGTCTGTCATGAACATCACTGGTCAGCTCTTAACATGGCACTGAAGTTTGACAGCACATCTGGACCTGTCCCTCCCAGCTCCAGATGCAGAGTGCAAATGGTGAAACATCCCTGTTGGCTGATCATATTTTGGAAATAAATAAAGGAAAGTACTTTACAAATTTCCAAAATATGAAACATAAAAAGAGAAATATGTCATAAATCTGTATATTTGTAAATATATGATGTGACAAACATCTAAGTATCAATTATGGTTAATGTGTGACATTCATTTATCTCTTAAAAAATGTTTTAAAAGTGTAATCTATAGTTGTGATGAAATGCGACTGGTTTGCGTTGAACTTCAATAAAAAGCTTTTTTTCTGTTTTTTTTTTTTGTTTGTTTGTTTTGGTTTTTTTCAGTATTACTCCATGACTTAAAAGCAAGTGTCGCATGTGGGAGGGAAGGGATTTATCAATAATCAAAAGCACATGTCACCTCTTCCCGTTAGGCTCCGGTTATATTTAGCTTGTTGTTATAACTCACTGCATGCAGTGAGAAATGTGGCTCATGATTCACTTTCAGGTCACGGTGCTGCGTTGCTTTTGCATGCAAAATATCATCTGGTTTATGTTCCAGTTAAACAAATTAAATAAACTTGGTAGGATTTGTGAATGAATGTATTAAGACAGACTTTTAAACAGATGTGGAAGGAAACAGAAAACTTTCCCTATCCCCCTGGAATTGTAACTTCTAGGCATTTCCCTCTTTTTCTGTGTAACATGACAATCCATGTAGGGCAAGAAATCTGAACCAAAACAAAAACGTACTTTCTGTCTTTCTGAAATTTTTAGACTTCTCTCTACTTGAATCATTTGTTCTGAATCCCTTTGTTTTAAACTAAATATATTGTGGTTTTTGATTTATTCGCACTAAAATAATTTAAGGGAGCAGCTCTGTTTTTGATTTAGTTTCTAGTGCGAATATCTCAGCAAACGTGAAATAAAACTAACTTACAATTATCTTTTTAGCAAACTATAGAGATTTGTTTTAAGTTCATTTTTAATATTGATGAAAAATTTATTTTTCTATTGGCAGATAGAAAAATGATTCACTTTGGGCTGAAAGAAAATGTTTGTTTTCTTAATTACAAATAGCCCTAAAACTATTAATGCACATTCCACTTGTAGTAATAAAAAACTTCTTTGATTTCCAAATGTTTTCCATTATTGGAAACGTGTAAATAACATAACCATTCACGTTTGGAAAAATTCTTCACATTTGGACGAATAAAGACAATAAGTTAATTAAATTTCAGGCTGTATATATTAAGTTGTGGTTTTTTTGTGGGACAAATTTAAATTAAGTGGTCAGTGAGTTTGTTAAATAGGTTGAGTAATCGACTAAACCAAATTATTCCCCGATGTAATCCGGCGTAAACATGTTACTGGTTTCAGTTAGAACCAGTAACAGGACCATTACAGCATCACCTCTCAGTTCATCCCAGTGCAAACACATTACATAACTGATGTGCAAACAGGCAGCGGCGCTGTTGGCGAAAACGTTTCCCAGAAGATCAGCTGTTAGCTGCACAGTCCACTCAGCCTGGGAGGAGTTGCATGTTCAAGTGGGCAGAGGTGCTTCCTCCACTTAATAATTATTTCCAAATGGAAAAAAGAACATTATGAAACTGTTTTTATGTCCGTGGAAAAAGTCTGCACATATAATAAAAAGCTTTCATGTATTCCTCCTAGTAAGTTCAGGCTTGTCAGATGTTCCAACGAACACACCTAATGGGAAGATTTATGCTGACTCGGCTGAAGGAGCCGCTCCAACTTTAAATACTTGCTGGAGATTTTTTTTTTTTGTAGTTTAGCTCAAGGCTGTACTTTTCACTGAGTCGTACAGCGAAAGACGTTCACATATAAAACTAAAAAAAGGTTTCAGGAACTTTTGCTTGATACGTTTTAGTTGTTTTCCTCTGAAATATTATGTTTACGGTTTTTAACGACTAGAAATGTGTACAAGTTATTTTGGTCAATCTTCTACTGCAAGTAACTTTTCAATAAATGTAGAGATTTGTTTTAAGTTGATAATTTATTAATTTTTATAAAAATTTTCATTTGTAGCTTTCTGGATGCAGTGGTGAGTTTTTTGGATTCTTTGTGAATAAAATTTATTCTATTAAAAATAAACTTGTTGGCATCCTGTCACAATAACGAATGTTTCTGGACAATTAATCGTCCCAGACGTTATCGCGATAAACGATAATGTTGTTTTGAGACAATTTGCAGGTAAAATGATTATAATAATGGCATAACATCACAAGAACACTCTCTCAAAGATCAATAATCTTTAATAATCCATTTAACATCAAAACAAGAAGAACTTTGATTTATTGGTTATTGTGGCAGAAAGCGCTGACAGCTGATCGGATCTGTAACCGTTTTGATTCAGTTGAGCTTAGTGAGAAAAAATATCAGCTTCAACTAAACCTGCAACTTTCAAGTTGGACCAAATCGAGCAAATTATTAAAAAAAAAGTGCCTTTTGATTGTTGTATTTCTTAAATGAAAAACTTTGATAAATTAGTTGCTAATCAACTGTGTAACCATGTAAACATTGACCAAAAAATGCTATTGACAACTGAACTGGTCTAGTATTTTAGCTAATCTCTTTACCCATTGGAATCTTTCACTAAATTGATAGTTAATTGATTGGTTTCAGTGATTGAAGGCCATTTCCAACCCACTGTGACAGCTGTTGTTGATTCTGCGTGATTTCAGTCCTGCAGAAGAAGGAATGTGACACATTGAGACATTACCTAACCTCCACAAACATACACAACCTGAGACGTTAGCTAAGCATCGACTTGGACCGGCTCCCAAAGAGCCCATTACATGCACAGCTGCACAAACAACCTGGGAGTTTCAATCAGGCTCAGGTAACCAAGAGCGAAGCCACACCTGCTCCAAAGTGAGTCAGCAAGTAACGCAGAAAATACAATTATAAAAAAACTTTTATATGATGAGTACAGTGAGAACTGTACTCACTGTACAGTGAGTACATCCTCCCATTTTACATAGGAGGATGTAAAATGTCTTCTTTTATATTTCTGACGCCCAAGAAGAAGCAAAAGAGCAAAGAGTTGAAATCAGACTGATGGCTGGTTTGGGAACATGGAACGAGCGTCACAGACACGACTCTGTTTTCAGAAAACTGGAAATGTTTTTTTGAAGTGGTCCAAGACTTGCAGTCCCACAAAAACACTTGTCCAATGTGAAATGTTTATTTTTTCTATCAACATGGAAACACTTCATGGTGAACTCGAAGCGTCGTTTGGTTTGAACACAGCATCAGCTCCACCTGCAAACGTTTTACAAACAGGAAAACAACAGCAGAGGAATCAGATCCCTCCCGTCCCCAGTGGAGGGAACTGGTCCCACATTTCCAATTATGAGTTAAAAGAAGATAAAATTGGATCCAATTAAAGAGATTTGTTTTGTGCTTGCATGTGGGAGAGCTGTTTACCTGCAGCGTCCTGGATTTTGTAATTACAGTGGAAGATGATCTGGCCTCCTGTTTAGCTTCTCCAAACAGCTCATTTGAATGTAATTGCTGAATCTTTTTGGTGCCATCGCTGCTGTTTGGAGCGATGCAGTGGTGGGCTTGATGTGGGTTGGTGGATTTTTCTCTCAAGCATCGTAAGACTTCGGGTTTTCATAATGAGGTCTGACGGTAAAAACCAGTAATCTGATGGTTTAAACTTAATTTAAATTCATCTTTATGGGTAAAAATCTTATTCTATAAACATCAGACCAATTTAACAACTTGGCTGCTCGTATACTGTTTTCATTCATGGTATGTTACGGGATAAAATGCGTATTTTCTCAGTTGCTACATGTTCCAAGTCCAGTTTCTGGACAGGTGAACTGTGTTCAGGCTTTCTTCACATCTGTGGCTGATTTTCCCAGGTGTTACCGGGCTTTACGAGGAGATGGACCTCAGCATCATCTGTGCAGCAAAGGGAAGCAAAACCCTTTGAAAAATTGTGAGAATAAACCATGCAAGAGCCTCCTAAGGCTGGAGAATAACTCTTATAAGAAAATGAGGTCTGGTTGCACCACATGACCCAGTCCAGACAAATACTCAGACCCGAAGCTAAGCCTCGTCCACTGTTTTTGGGAGGAGCTGCAAATATAAAATTCTGTCTCTTTTTCCGTCCATGTGTTTAGATTAACTGAAATCCAGCTGCTCTGGGTGGAAAGTGCAGCTCTCAGACACTTTGCTCTACCTCTGTGCTGTCTGCTTTTTGTCCTTTACACTCTTTCTTCTTCTTGTGAGTTGACTCGGCAGCCGTTGAGCACATGGGAGAAAAGCCGGTCAGTTCACATTAAAATAACCTCGGTTTCATGCAGACGCTGCTGCACGTGTCCTGGTTTTACTCAGTAAACAACCACAGACACGCACATTAACTGTCAACATAAAGTATAGCGGTCGTGTTATGTAAAGTCGTTTAGAGGTCAGTGTCATAAATCAACCAGGAGTCATTAACCAGACAGAAATGTAATTCGTCAACCTCCCCTTCACACCAGTTTTAGACAGCTACGTACCTTCAGCTGCGCACTTTGACTGCAGAAGCTGCCAAACTGTTCTGAAAATGCAGAAAATGTTTTTGTTTTGGGCCAAATCCAGATCATAAAGGCTCTTAAAGGGCCGGTTGTGCCAGAATGTATTGATGAAACCTGTTCACACACTATTGAAATATCAATGAATCTTCAAAATTAAATAATATTATTGAACATCTGCTCAGTTCCTCCAGAATTTTGTGATTTTTTTTTTATTTTTGACTTTTTATAACTCGCTGTAACGATTGGACTATATAATCTGACATCAGTTAAGGCTGAGGCAGCTGTTTAGTACAAGTACGAAAGATTTTGACAATTTTTTAGAAAAATTTGCAATAAATTTCCAGTTATTTATTAGTGCAAAAAAGAGCAGGGATTTGTTGATTTTTCTCAAGAAACTGGAGGAACAGATTGGTGTAATTTGGCAGTAAATGGATAAAAACTACATTGATTTGATTGATAATATAATATTGAGGCTCACTTTGTGTTTAGTCTATAATCCAGAGGGCCACATGAAGAGCTTTAGTGGACCAGATTTGGCCCACGGGCCTTGAGTTTGACACATCTGGCCTGCCTGCATTGGTGTGTGTTGTCGTAAAATCGTGGTTTGACAGCCCATGCTAACCTGCCAAAGTGCAGCCTCGTCACAGCAGGTTGGTTGGACTCCAAGTAATTTATTTTAAGGTTTCTTGGCAGTGCAGCTGGTGAGCATCACATCCCATCACTGCCAACACAATTTAATCCAAAGCTGCAAAGCAAATCCAGACAATGTTCTGACAAGGACACTCACACACCTCCAAGTTGCACATAAACAAGTTTGTGGCATGATGAGAGGAACTGCATCATGTGTTACTTTCCTTCTGCGCTGTCAAATCCAAACTGTTTGAAAAACCTGTTCACCTCCTCGCCTGTGGTGGCGCTTCTGCTCCTAGAGGAAATGACACAAAAAACTCTGAAGAAAACTTGAGCGCAGTTTTCTTCTTTGCAAAATGCAAACAGTAATAGAGCAGAGTCAGATTTGAGCAATTTCTCTTTAGTCGTTTCTCCCCCTGGCGACAGACTCTCACATTTGTTTTGGGTGAGATTCTGTTTTTTTATACACAAATTAGATATTAAAAACTTCAAACTATTAACTCCTTAATCTGACACTAAGTGGAACAAATCAGAGACGTACTTCAGATAAATCAAAAGATTCATTTTGTAAAGATACGTTTGTAAACACACAAACACAAGTGTGTGCCAGATGGAGCATCAGGATCCCACATGCTTAAAACGGGATAAAAAATGATCTGACAGAACTGGAACTGGTCTGCGTTAGCAGCTCAGTCCTAATAAGACTGCCATCTGATCATAAACCCGAAAACAAAACGTTACGGATGAGGTAAAGCATGCGTGATGGACTGATCTGGATGGGGTTCTGAAGAATGTGCAACATTATAAGATGTTTGAAGTAAAGCTGGAATAAAGATTTATTTGAGAAGACAGTTTTATTTTTGCAAAAGAGAACATTTTTATTGTTTTTTTGCAAAGTTATAAAAAATCAAGGGAGTTCAACTGGAAAGAGAATAATTTAATAACATAACTCAGAATAAATGGAAAGTGTCTTTCTTGCAATTTTGCAACAAACAGATGAACCAGATTTTGAAGCTTAGTATTGAGAGATTGTTTATGCGACGCTTGTTACAAGTTATTACAACAGGAAGTCCTACAAGCTTTTAGTTTTTGCATCTTAATGCAAGAGAAACTGCTTTAAGAAAGCACTTAAGATTAAAATACTTTTAGAAAAAACTTGAGAAATTTCTGAGTTTGAAAAGTCAAAAATTTGCATTAAAAAAACCCCTAAAATTTTGGGACAAATTTTAAAAAAATATTTTAGGAAAGAAAATGGAAATTTATGATCTTGAAAAGTTGAATATCGGATAGAAAAAAACCTGACATTTTAAAGAAAAAACAAACTTTTCCCGTTTTAAGCCCAGAAGCTTCTGAAGATTTTTTCTAAAACTTTTCTGGGATTAATCTAAAAATTTGGTGCAAATTGACTCCTCTTGTCTTTTTTAATGCGCCGCCACGCGAGGAATGATGAGTTTGCAGTATTTTGAATAAAGGGTGTCGACTGAGACGTTCCAACCTGATATTTGATGTGCACAACTTAATTCAGGAAACGATCAAAAATACTTTTCCCCTGACAACAGAACATGTTGACTCCTAAAGGTCAAACACGTGACCTTTGGGGCCTAGTTATGGTTGAGTGCTTCTCTCTTCTCCAACAAATGCAAATTATGCTGTTAAACTCAGATTATTAGTGTAGTTGTAGTTTGATGGAGTCTGTATGCATGTGTAGCCCCTCTGTGTGTGTGTGTGTGTGTGTGTGCGTGCGTGTGTGTGTGTGTGTGTGTGTGTGTGTGTGTGTGTGTGGTCCTCCTCCAGCACCACCAGCTCATGTTTGTGTGACCACCACAGGCGTGGTTGTGGGCCGTTTCCAACGTGTGTGTGATTGTTTTAGTGACGGTAGAGGCTGCTGTGACTGGAACCGTAGCAGATAAACCCACATGGTCAGAACCAGCACCGGCTCTCCCACAGGGATAAACACACACACTACATCTGGTGCACAACTCCTCTCTTCTTCCTTGGACATCATTCGAAAGTAGTGTGAACATTTAAATACAAGTTTAGAACCAGATTTTGAGTAAAGCTTTCATTGCCATGCATTCAGACTGCGGGGCACCGTTGGTAATTTGACCAGCTCACAGGAACCAGCAGCAAAAAAGAAATCCTTTATTTGCAACAGATGGTAGGTTGGAGAAAATCACAATGCATTTCCTACAAAGCCTCAGATCAAAACGATGGCCAGCGCAGGGACTTTACTTTCTGTTAGCACTAACTTTTACCAACTGACACAAACTTACGATGGCAGTTTTTAGTTATTATTCCTGCAACAATAACCAAATGTATTTTAATTGTCTGGGTTTCCCTCCAAGATCTGTTACTTTTATGAGAAGATCTTAGGTAAGATGTACACAAACACACATTTGCATTTTTTAAAAAAAATTATTGGACTCAGTCGCACTATTTTATATATATTTTTTTTCTACACCAAAATTTCACCACTTTGGGACATTCAAAGAATATTTTTCTACTCCCCAAAAAAAATCTTTCTGCGCCACCTAGTGGTGAACTGGAGGCTTTACCAGTGGAATGCCTCAGATCTGTGATATTTTTGATTATTGCCAAGAAAAGAAATTTCACATTTGTTCCTTTTGCTTTGGTGATAAAACACAGAATACTGCATTATATTTCTGCTCAGCTGGAAAACACAGTCAGATCTTGATTTGATTGTTTTTGTGAGCTCTAGAACTTTCTACATTGTTATTGCATCTTTACTGGAAACGCTGGAAACATCCTTCTTCCAGTAAGTGTTGGCTCTGCATCTGAGTCAGGACTGAGTCACTCACCATCTGCAGCCACAAACAGAACAGAACCAAAACCAGTACAAACCCGCAAAACTGACAGATGTTTGGTGAAGTTTACACTTTATCACAGGATGTTTTAAAAATGTATTTTAGTCATTTAGTGTTGATATTATTTGTCAAATCTGCCTGGCGGTTTTGCAGTGCCATGAACATTTACCAAAACGCTTGAGGTTTTTTTTACCTCCTTTACCATCTTCACTACTTTGCCTTATGGCAAGCTAAACATTTATTCATTAATTTGTCACATTTCCAGCTGTTTTAGTCATTTTCAACCCTGAAAGATATTTAATGTTTTGGATAAACATAAATTATTGCACCGACTCCAGAATTTGGCCAGCAGCCATTTTCCTGTAGCCATGTCCAGTCATGCACATCAGCTTACATCTGTCTTATGTTCTCTTGTCTGTTTCCTTTTGAAGAGGTGCAAGAATAAAGCTAAGTGTATGTAAAATACATTAGTTTTATAGGAATGGTCAGAGTAGATACTGCATGTAATAAACACTAATGTTAAAGGTTAGACTTTTTTAAAAATACTTTCTGCAACTGAAAGTAAAGATGGTGCCAAAAAATCTGGAATATTTTCAGTTTTTTTAAATTAGACCAATCAGATTGTTTCCTTGCATTTTGTCTCTTCCATCCCTTGGACGTTGCTGCTTCCCTTCTTATTTAAACTGTTTATTTAGTTCGGTAATTTATAGTTTTGAGTCCAAAGGTTTAGTCAAATCTAATTGATTTTCTCTAATTGCAGGATGTCAAAATAATGGAAGATGTTAACCTTTTACTAAGACAAGCTCTTTAATCTGCTATTTATTAAACATTTACCAATAGCAGATTTGACATTTTTGCCTAAATGTGACCTTTTCCATTGCGTAAAACTTGCTTTTCTTGAATTTAGATCAGAGAATTAAGTGCTCGAAACTGTACTTTTTAATCATGACATCTGAAGAGTTTGAGCGATTGCTCACAAACCGATCATGTCGATTTGTCCATGACGTTTCGATCTGATGTCATTCAGTCTTCTGTGCTGTTCCGTAAAAGATGCTCAGCCTGCGAAAAGCAGAACAGACATTAGAAAAGGACAGGTGTATCAGTACGGTGACAGGCTGCGGCGTAAGCACCAGGAAGTCGACGGGGTCCTCTGGTTTGACCTTGGAGCACTCCAGCATGGCCTCGCCCAGCGAAGGCATCACATACTTCATCAGGTAGTTCCTGAGAGGAAGAGCTTTGGCTTCCGACATTTCAGCCTCCTGTTCCACCACCATCCCCAGGCTCTTCTTCTGCAAAAAGCACAATCACAGGCGTTAAGCCTTCTTTATTTGAGGTTTTCTAACGCTCCTAGTTTCTGAGCTCACCCATCTCTCGTAATGACCCGTCATGCCAGCCAGAGCAGCCGCCTTCCTCTCCTTCCTCTCTGCTGCCTCCGCTGCCAGTTTCTGCTTTCTCTCTTCCTCTTTCCGTCTCTTCAGCGCCTCCTGCTCCTCTGGGGTCCCGCCGTAGTTCTTGGGCTCCCCTATAATCTCAATAATCTTCTGCATAGAACAAGTGTAGTCCGAATCATCTGTGCTGATGTCTGGGAAAAGGAGAACATTATATTCTCCCGTAATATTCCACGGGTGTTTTTTTTAATACAAGCAGCTTCTCCTTCTACATAAATATAATACATATTAGGTACAAATCAACTTGCTGTGCTGACCCCTGGTGGTCAATTGTGGTTTTGCAGACTACCTAAATATTCTGGATGGAGTTCCCGGTGATCGTAAAAGTCCAACAAGGTTACTGGAGCTCTGTAGAGTCTCCGGTATGCGTCCAGGCAAGACGGGAATTCGTTCTGAGTGTAGCGCAACTTCTCAGCTTTGCTCTCTGGAAGCTCTTGCACTCGCTTGATCAGGAAATCATCTGGTGCTTCGAGGTTAAAAATGTACTCTGTGAAGCAGATATGGAAGAAGAAAAAACACAGATGAGCAATTGTGAGTTGATGCATTTTAACGACCAGCTGATGCTGTGAGCAGAACCTGGGGTGATGATCTTGTTATACCACGGCATATTGGAGAGAACATCTACATCCTGGTTCTCCTGACTCTCATCTGAACAGGATAAAAATCACTGTTTTACTAATACTTCTGATGCATCTTCATCCATCAATTCAACAAAAGCCATATAGACAGATAAAACTTGCCAGCAAAAACCGTCTTTGCCTGCTCCATCGTCTCAGGGAAGCCGTCCAGAACAAAGCCTTGGTTCCTGCATCCCTTAGAGTAAAGCTTTTCACGCAGAATCTCAAAAATCAGGTCTTCAGTCAGAACACCTGAAAAAACAACAAAAATCAACATCAAAGCTTCTTAAAGTCAAATTTAATTCAAGGACATTTCCGTACACGTTTAGTTGTGTCTACTATCTTCTACTTTTTATGTTAAATAAATTTAGCCTTTTTATATTTTGAGATGTTTGAGTTTGTGAAAGAAAGTTAACTTTTTACTAATTTTTTCAAAACTCCAAGAGTTTTAAGGTTTGCGCTTAAAAAAACTGAAAGAAGGAAAAGTCAGGAGTGGGAGCTATTTCCCAGAATGCTTAGCGGCATGGTTTTATATCCTGATATGGAAGTGCGTCACATTGATCTGAGTCTTGTGTTGCATTAGTTTGAGGACTAAATGTTTTTAAGCTGAATTTAATGAACTTCATTATCAGATAATAAATTTTGTTCTTGCAATTTAGAAACAAGAATTTAAATGATTCTAAAGTAAAATCAGTATTTATTTTAACTTGATATTGTGAGTAAAATAATAGTAAATGTGGCTCTTTAACCAGGTGAGGACAGTTTTTTTTTCTTGCATTTTGTGAAATAATTTTTTGTTTTTTTGCAGCATTAAGTTAAAACTCACAATTCAAAATTAATGAACTTAAAAACAATGCTTAGACAACTTCTCTCTGTTGTTAAATTAACTTCATGAACTTTAATTTCTGAATTAAAACCAAAACAATTTTCTTGTCGACTTTAGTTGCATTTTCAAGGCAGCAGGTGGACTTTAATTTTTAAGTTATGTTTTACAGTGCATGTAATAGGATTTGGGTTTTGTTATCAGCCTTCGTTGGCTGAAAACTTTCTTTGCTGTTGTTTTTTCTTTTGTCGACTCGCCTTGGTTATCCTGCAGAGTCTTCTGGATGTTTTCCAGTTGGTCCTGTGCAGCAGCTACGGCGTCTTCAGCAATGTCTTCTTCATACTCCTCAGTCGCTATCATCGTCTCCTGCAAAACGTCGACACAAACGAGGTGACCAGAAACTTCTCTTTATGTTCGTCGTACGACGACATGAACGTTTATAACCTACATTACTACTGTTCTCTCAGGTCAGCCAAGAACCAGTTTAGAGAAAAAAGTCTTCTATATTTAGGTAAACATCTACTTTAGGAAATACATTGTAATTTTTAAAAGATAAGCGCTTTTAACTCTGTTTTTAGGATTTAAAATGATTATAAACATTAAATTTAGTAAAAAAACAAACAAAAAAAAAAAACGTCTAACACCATATTATAGGTTCTTATAAATGGAAATGTTGCAGAAAAAATAAAAACATTTATTATATCTATATTTTGAATATTATCTGGTGGGTTTTTTTTTATAATTGTGGCAGATCCAAAATTCAGACTGATGTGAAAACCACTAATTTCTGCTTATTCAGTCAGTATTAAAAACAACCAACACAAAATAATGTTAAAATTGAGCCACGTGCTTTTCTTTATTTAACGTATTATTTTCATAAAATGAAGGGCCAGTCGATCAATTAACTTGTTGATGGATAATTTGCATCCTTAGTAAATCCTTTCAAGTGTTTTGGTCTAAATTCTGGGGCAAATATTAGTACAATTGAAATAATATAAAACTAACTTAATAAGAAATATGAGCTTTTTTAAGTCAATAATTCCTTAAATACTAGTTTCAGTGGCAAATTTGTTGATTTTTGAACAGTTTGTGAACAAGTTTTATCAATACATTCTGGCACAATGTGTTGGATTTGGCCCAAAACCAAAATTAGTTTGACATCTCTGGATTATAACATAATCCAGATTGTTGTAAGTGGAACAAACACATTTTCATCAATATTACTTGTAATTAGTTTTATATTATTTCAAGTGTACCAAAACATTTGCACTAGAAACGAGACCAAAAACACTCGGTAAGATTTTGTGTTTAAAAACACAATAAAACACTTTGACTTTTGGGTTTGACATGTGAAAACACTTCACCGTTTCCACAAGGGGGCAGTATACAGTGAAGTCTCTACTGTTGCAGCTTGTGTTTCCACTGACCAGCTGAGAAATTTTCTCATCAAACATGTAGTTGACGTTGATGTAATGAAGTTTGTAGTACTGGCAGAGCTTCATGGCGAGAGTCGTCTTCCCCACCGCCGGAGGGCCAGTCAGGCAGATCTTAATCGGCTGCAGAAAATAAAAATATAACCCACTGCTGTCATTTGAAAACAAGCTTATTAGCAAAAAGGGATTCTAACTTATCCAATATTTAGGTAAAGGCGACTTTGACACAAACAACTCTCTGATTTGAAGAGTTAAATATTTACGAAAAGCTGTCTTGTGACTTTGTATTCCTTCACGATGCTCTTGATGTTTTTCACAAGTCCCTCTTCACTGGTCCAGTCAAAGGGTAAATAGTCGCTCACTATAGATGCTTCCACTCGCAGGTTGGCGTTGAGACACTCCAGTTCTTCCGGCTGGAACCAGGAGCAAACTGAACTATTGAATCAATATTAATCTGTTTTATCTTTTTTAGCAGGTCTTATTTAACATCTCATGTTTTGGGATTTTGGGGGGAAAAAATTTAAGCGTAAAAAGAGCATTGAAAATAAGATTTGTTTTGAGTTTGTTTATACAAGTTGTACCTTAAAAGCGTTCCTTTTGATGGCGTCTTCGGGAAGTAACTTGCAGATTTTTTCTGGTCCGAGCACATCGCTAATAGTCTAAAGAGTTAAAAGAAAGAGAGACCAAATAAACGTTTTATGATGTTTCATCGGTTTACACACACAATGTTATTATAGCTTAATTCTGATGTAAAATGCTACCTTTACAACTTCCTCCAAGGTGGTCTTGGAATCATCAACGGCGATGATGTACCTTGGACTTGGCTTCACCTTAATGATGCCTTGAACCACTCTAACCAATCAGAAGTCAGTTTGGTTCTGATCCAATTTTTCCCCAAATAACAAACGACAACGCTACACATCGTTAAATACATTTACCTTCCAAGGTCACAAACATGAATCATGGGAATAAAATTTTCACCACTTCCAAATATGGGAACCTTTGGCTCCTCCATTAACCATGAAACCTAAAGAAAAATGCAAATGACAACAATCTAAAATACACTGCAAAGACACAAAATCTTACCAAGTAATTTTAGTCTAGTTTCTACTGCAAATATCTTATTACACTTGAAATAAGACTAATTTAAAAGTAGCTTTTTAGCAAGCTACATGGATTTGTTTTAGCTCAATAATTCCTTGATATTGTTTAAAAAAAATACTTAGGCAGATAAATTAACTTATAACAGAAAAATGTTAAAAGTGAAATAATCTGCCAACGGAACAAGAACTGGGTTGCTAGGTGACGGGGCTGGCGTTGCTAGGTGACGGGGCTGACGTTGCTAGGTGACGGGGCTGACGTTGCTAGGTGACGGGGCTGACGTTGCTAGGTAACGGCGCCAATAGAATTAGAACTTTTTCACCGATATTAAGAAATTGGTGACTCAAAACAAGCTGCTGTGTCCTGTTGAAAAGTTATTTTTAAGTTAGTTTTGTCTTATTTCAAGCGCGGTAAGATATTTGCGCGAAAATAACTTGGTAAGATTTTTTTATACAAGTCGTGTGTTCATGAGGGATTTATTGTATTTACCTTAAAAAAGTAGTGGAAGAGATTTTCTCCCATTCCGTACTGAAATCCAGCACATACAACGTAACCTTTGAGCTTAGATATTTTCTGAAAAATTAGAATACAAGTACATTTCTTTATAGTCCTGTCACTGCTTTCTTTCTTATTTGTCTCCATTGTTTTGGTGCAGTTTGTGAAATATACAGCGGTATAACAGTGAAATCACGTACACCTCGCGGACACTTGAGCACAAGTTTCTCCAGGTCATTGTGTTTCCTGAACTTGGGATGAGGTCTTCTTCTGAGAAAATCTTCTTCCAAAAACGGGAGACCTGGGTCAGTCTGAAATAAAACCAAATAACTTCATGTAAAGAAGAAATCTTAGATTTAAATGATGTTATGATGTTTTAGATTTTGAGTTTTGGGGGATTTACGCCTTCTGAAAGCCTGAAATTCGTCCAAGTCATCAATGTGGAGACGAGGATGAAATATCTCCGGGTTTCGAAGCTTGCCATTTGATTCTGAAGGACTATTTGGAAGAATATGCAGTGTTCATTTGTGAATGATATCAGAAATCCAATCGATTACACTATTGCTGTGTTTTCTAACTCTTGCCTGATATTGCCCATGTTGCTTCTTCAATCTGCTCCGGAGTTGCACTTTCGGTGACGCAGTAAACCACAACATCGCACTCCAGCAGCACCTGCTCCAGCTCCTCTCTGCTTGGCGACTGGCAAAAAACTACAGATATTAGTAATACTCATTTTAATGATTTATTTAAACTGTTCACTCCAATTTAAAAACTGTCGTTTGGTGAATTAGTTTGAATTTATGGTGGATTTACTCTGATTCACTGGGTGGAAATGACACCAGGCTTTTAAGCTCAAGCCACATATTTTCCAGAAACGAGATAAAGCTTTGACATTTTTCAGGGATTAAGATCCGCTTAAGAGAGCAAATTACAATTATTAGCGTTTTATTTTATCATTGCTAAAAGAATATGGAAGTAGTTTTGTGTTTTCAGTAATCAGGGTTAGTTACATTCATTCAATTACATTTATTGGGTAACTTTTTTGACAAAATTTACTTTTATTTGAGCATTTTTATTATAAAGTATCTCTTCTCTTATTTGGGTAAAATGTATTTATTTTCTACACAATAAATAAAAAAACCATCACGTTTTAATCAACAATTCACCACCTATGGTTTCTTTCATTGATGGAAACTGATTTGTAAAAATTATTTTGCAAAATTTTTTATTACTTTTTGTCAGTTTGGTCCTTAAAATAACAAAATTTCCACTTAGCTTTATATTTTGTTAATCTAATGGGACAATTTTTGAGTATTAAATGATTTGATAAGAACTTGAGTAAACGTTTTACCAAATACTCTTACTTGACAACAGGAAATAATTTTACTGTGATTTCTCTTTTTCAGCTTTAAATTAAATGTTAAATGTATAAATGAAGAAGAAAATAACTAATTATGAAAGGACAGAAAAATGGTTGCAAAGGTTTGTCTTGATAAACGAATGTTTTTCAAATGTTTTCTATTTTATTGGCATAGAAAATGTCAATGACATTGAAAACCTATCCAAACCATTTTTGCACTAAGCCAACTTATTGAGTAAAATGTTGCTATAATTAAGAGCTAAATATTAAAACAAGCCTGTTTATGTTGTACCTAACATTTTCAATTTAGGAAAACATATATTAGCCACTAAAAAAATCCTCAAAATGTGGCCAAGTTTGTATCAATTTGTACTTGTGGTTGGGGGCCACAAAAAATTATCCAGTGGGTCACAAATGGCCCCCGAGCCTCATGTTGAAAACCCCTAATTTAAGAGTAAAAGTTGACAAAACAACTGGGTTTATAATTATTGCATTATGCTATAATATAGTAACATATAATGTTTGCCTTTAAGCAGCTGGCTCACCACATACAGTTGGTGTAGATTCTCTACTTTCTCCTCGGTAACGGAAGTTCCCACGACTTGTAAAGTTTCTTCGCGGGAACTGAGCGACTCATCTTCCATGTCTTCTTCCTCCGACTCGTCAGGAGCTTCAACCTGTCCTATGATCTTCCCGGGTAAAAAAATAAAGCCAGAGGACACACCACAGTCGTCTCACTTTGACTGGCACCGAAACGGCGAACCTTGTTCTCGCGCCTTACCTGGGCGACGTGCCTCGACACGTACGTGTGGACGTCGTTGACGAAAATTTGCCTCACTGGAAGCGACACCTTCTTCTCCTCCTCCTCCATGACAAAAGCTGTTAGTTTAGGGACACAGAACAACCGACGTTCAGAGGGAAACTGCTGCGACAAACACAGCCAGTCTTAACGGTTACTATGGACTCGAAAGCGGTTGCTAGGGTTCAGCCAGACGTACGTTGAATACGTAAGCTACGTCACAGCGGACGTAGCTTACGTGGCCTTCCATCCGTTTAAAACGTGAACACGTATAGTTTTCTTTCATTGCTTGCTTATTTTTTATCATTAACTTGACGTACAAGTGAATGAAGTTAGCTTAGCTTAATTTATTATTTGGTGCTTCCTAATTTTATAATCTGGATTAAAACTAGCAAAATATTCCCCCCTTTTTTTCTGTTTCATTAAACTTTTTAAATACTGGCGCTTTCATGGGTTGATTGGGCAGGTTATGAATAAATACAAGCGCCAATCAGTTTATTTCTAAATGATATGACCTCCAGATTCTAAAGAGACACATAAGAAGTACCTAAATTATTTTATTAATAAAATTAAAGCAGATTTTATATGTATTCTGCTTAATTTATCCAACTTTAAGGACTCATTGAATGCTGAGACACTTATTATTAATACCTCAAGAGGTGGTTTAACAGCATTTCAGTACAATCAGGGATAACAAACCTACAGCTAAAACACAAAGAAAATATTGAAATTGCAGCCATCAATCACACTATGAAGATTATTTTTTTACACTTTCACCAAGTAATTTAAATGCAAAAATACTTTTACCAGGTAAAGTAAATGTAAAGCAGACATTAAACCTCTGCTTTTGGAGGTTTAATGTCAGAATCCCTTTCTGGTGATGTAACTGGCTTCTTCCTGCAGGGAATACCAAATGAACCCCCTCCAGACAGAGCTGCATGCCACTCTGGGCTCCTTATTTGCACAAACAAGCCCCGACCGCGGTCCTGTCGATCCCCTCTTTGTGCAGGACAATGGAGTGCTGACATGGAAACTTTCAAAGCACCCATTTATTTATAGGGCTGACTTTATCAGCTCTTCACGGCGTCTGCTTCGCACAGTTCTGGGCACTCGGTGAAACATGCCAGTCATTTATTCAAAGCACAATGACGCTGAATGAGGACTGATTGGTTTTACCATCTTTAGTAATCAATCCGCAATAAGGTAACAAGAGGGTGTCTGGTTTAAAGTGGTCAATAATTATCCTGCAGGTTTGTTAGGAATTGTAAAATGTGATGAAGGGTTGAAATATTTAAATAACACGGAATTATCTATTTGTGTAATAATCATAATAAAAGGTAAGTCAAATATGTTAAACTGTTTTATATCTATAATTTTAAAAATGGGAGGATTTGTTGATTTTGTGTAAATTTCCACAATAATTCAAGGAACTGGAGGGACTGATTGATATAATTTGGAGGTAAACAAATAGAAACTGCCTTGATTTGATTGATAACGTCATGTTTAAGCTCACTTAGTGTTTAGTCTAGAATCTAGAGGGTCACATAAAAACATATGGCGGGCCAGATTTGGCCCACAAGCTTTGAGTTTGACACCTGTGGCATAGAATATCTGTTTGTTAAAACTGTCAGCTGTTTGCAACAGGCAGGTGTGACCTATAAAACTTCTGCTGATTTCATCAGAATCACTACAATGAATCATTTAGACGTCATTAGATGAGTTTCCCTTCAATTTATTTGTTGATTTCACAAATTATTATATCAAATCCACAGTAAAACATAGTTATGCTGTGGGTTAAGTTTGCACAAAACATTTATATTACCGGTCAGAGAACATAATCCTGTCTGTGTTGCACAGCAGTTGATTCTAGCAGCTGCCTGTGTGTGTTTATGTGTGTGAGGCTGAAATGCAGAGGAGGCAGCTGTCAAGACAGAGGGACTTCCTGCGTTACCTTATAAGGACGAATGTCCCTCAACGCCGTGACCCGTTTAGGAGCGATCCGCTTCCTCCTGAAGCTGCAGGAATCCTGCCAAAAAGTGCTTCTTTGACTTGAACAGAGCTGTTGGCAAAACAAAGCGCTGGCTTCTTCCATCAGACAAAGTTTCAGGAATTGAAATCTGAACTCTTATGCTATCTCTGATGCTGCTCTAAAAATGTAAACATAGAAGCTTCGCTGCAGCCTGATAATAGGGACGCTTCATTTCAAACTGTGTGTGGAACATCCAACATATATAAATGTTTATTGTGGCTACTTTGCTTGGACAAAGATACAGCGACTCTCCACAATTGTTGGAATCCATTGTGTTAAAATATTGTTACTCAAAAATCTCTACAATTTTCTTGCATATATTCTTCCTCCCTCCATGTGAAAGTAAGTAGTCCTGTTTAACACGGTTTCTTTTCTTTAAAACTTTTGAATTCTTCCAAATACAGAAACAGGAAAATGTTTTGCCTCTTTTTAAATCAACACAGATAAAACATGTTGCAGTTTTTATCTTTTTTTGTTGCCAAAATATATTAATCAGTCCCTCCAGTCTCTTGAGAATTATTGTGGAAATGTATACAAATCAACAAATTGAGCTGAAAACTGGAAATTTATTGCAGATTTTTGTCAAAAATTGTCAAAAACTTTCTTACTTTTCCTACACAGCTGTCTCAGCGTTAATTGATGTCAGATTATAATCCATAATCTTTACAGCGAGTAGTAAAAAGTCACATTTATGTCATAAATAAGAACAAACATTTCCAAATTAGAACCACAAACACTTTGATTTTTATTGCAAAAAATCACAAAAAGAATCATGAAATCCTGGAGGGACTGGAAAGATGTTCATTAATATTTCATTTTAAGGATTCATTGATATTTTAGCAGTTTGTGAACAAAGTTTTATCAATGCATTCTGGAACAACCGGCCCTTTAAGAGTGTTTATAATCTGGAATTGACTCAAAATGAAAATTTGTTTGACACTCCTGACTTAAAGCAAAAATCAAAACATTCGACTTTGGAGCTCAGAAATTTTTCAGAAAATTTCTGAAAATTTTTTTTTGGTGGAAACTTACTGCTTTGTTTTCTGTCTACAATGGTCCTAATATATACAGTCATTTACTGACTTCCATAAGCACAAATATAGCAAAAGTTATTGCAAATATTTATAGTTAGCAACATCAGTGATTTTAACTGCAAAAAACAAATCACAAAATCCTGGAGGGTCTCATTGTCTAATTTTAGGAATTATTCACTGAATGCAGTGACTTATCTATATTTTAGCAGCTTGTTGATGTGTTTTATCAATATACCGTCCCTTTAAGAACCTTTCTGTTGGTGATATGGCTCAGAATGAAGTTTTCATTCAAATGGGTTTCTTCCTGCTCGTATTGCAGCAGGTCTACAAATGGAGTAGTATTTAGTCGGGGGTATTTACATTCCTGCTGCCCTCGCCGTGGCCTCTTAGGGCTTCAGGGGGAGAACACAGGCTCTCTGCAGGCGGCACAAGGTGACGAATAAGGATCCTGAGCTGCCATTTTTCTACCTTCAGTGTGTGCAGCTACTGGCACCGGCCACACTCCATTCCCCTAAAAGGAGACGCTGGAGCCAATGAAAGCTGAGGAGCGTCAGCCGGCGCTCCCCACATGTCGCCTCGGCTCCCTGGAGGTCTGCAGCCCCCCCCATATCTCACAACGCTGCGTTTCAGCCGCCGCTCCGTCCCATCTCACTCAGCACACATACCATGACATGACTGAATTACTCAGACATATTCTCACATTACAATCATTTCCTGCAAACATCCACATCCCCAATTAAAGCGATATTTTACTTTATTATAAGGGGTGTGCAAAAGACTGACATGATATAACATCTGTTATAAACATGAAGGAGTCTTCATGAATGTTCTCATGAGGTGAAATAACAACACTTTAAAACAATCTTGCACTAAAACGTGCATTAAAAGTCCATTAAAATGGCCAACATTGCATCATTTGGTAAATAATGACACTTTTAATGCAAAGTTGTACCAAAACTTGAATTCAAAGCCCGTTAAAATTGCATCATATGGTAAAATGTTGTCCCAAAGCTTGTATTAAAAGTCTTTTGAAAGCATCAGCTTTTCATTATTTACTAAATAGTGACACTTTTAATATAATTTTCTATCATATCTTGCGTTAAAAAGTGTCAACTTTGCATTATTTGGTAAATAGACAATTTTAATAAAAAAATTGTACCAAAAGTTGCATTGAAAGTCAATTAAAATTGCCAAATAACTGTCATTATTTACTGAATGACTCTTCATAGCGTGTTATGTTTATGTTAATATATCAGTCTTATGCACATTCCTGTTGCCAATGATGTTTTGTTCATAAATCCAAATAACTATAATAATTATAACATCCAACCATGTTTAAAAACCAGACCCCTGCATTAAAAGCTACATTAACCCTGAGTCATAATAAACTCTGGTCACACACACTATAAAAGCTACTTAGCAGTTTATTGGGACCGTAAAAAGTGCTGCTGGTTATGTCTCATCCAGGACCTTTAAACTGTCAAAGGAAATATCTCTCCATTCTGACACGGGATCCACTTTACGCTGCCTTTTTGCTGAGCAACACTTAATTTGGACTTGCGTGAAGTCCTGAGCCCACCCACCGGCCGCCAGCCTCAGCATGCTGAATCATATTTAAGGAGGCCCTCACTCCCTCGACCCCCGAATCCCAGAGGAAACTCCAGCCCACTGGTTCCAGCTTGGTGAGTATCTTTTACAATCTGGCTCAGAAGATACTGAATTTCTACTTTCTTGCTGCTCGTTTTGTTTGCTGAATTGGATGGTTTGTGAAAGAAACTGAAGGAATATTTGGATTCACTTAATGGTGGATTAATGTAGAAACCTTTACAAGGAGAATGTTTAGTTTTATACAACTATAATGTCAATTGTGTTGCATAAAATTAAGTAGATTTAAAAAACTCTACATCTCCTTAAAAAGGTGATTTTGCAAGAGAGTGAATTTTATTTTAAACCCCAACATTATTAGGCTTTATTTTTCGGTTATTTCACATAAATTTACATTACTTAACTTTACAAGGAGAATGTTTAGTTTTATGCAACTACAGTGTCAATTGTTTTGCATAAAATTAAACACATCTAAAGATTTCTACATTGCTTTAAAAACAAAGGATATTTTGCTAACCGAA